CCAGAGAGTTAATGGAGATCGACGCAACACTTGCGGCGTCCTACTTTGTACGTGAACTATTCACCGCGAATACTTATCGAAACGTTGCTTTTCTCCCCAGCGTGAAAGTGCCCTCCCCCTCTTAAAAGACTCTTTGAAACGCGAACGGCGTGTATCAAAACTCTGATTTCAGCAGTCCCGTTAATGTGGTGCACGAGACGATCGAGGAAACGGTTCGCGCCAAGCGGAAGGAAACTCGTGGCGCGTCGAATATTTCCGCGCAATTAGTAACAGCTTTGCCCACACGTGAAAGCGACGTAAATTAAATCAGCCGTTAGAGCAAAGAAACAGAAAGCAACCTCGGCTTCGCAGCGTCGCATATATCAGTCTATAATTGCACCGTGTTATGCAAAAGTGAGTTAACTCACATAGTTATGGCGAATATTGCTTCGAGTAAACCGAATCGACAAGTATAGCAGCTCTTTTATATTCATCTTTGAAGAATTATATTTTTTATATAATGAAACTGTGAAATATAAAAGTATTCAGGAAACGGATTTTACAATATATACGTGGAACATTGCATGTATGATGCTTATCTATTTTTTTTTTTTATTAAAAGAAGCTCGTAATTTAATTAATTTTTGTTTATAATAACGTCTAACCATCGATTTGTATTTATCAAATACGATTAAAAAGAAGACTCTGATAAAAATGTCTTTACTCCAGAGGATTAGTTTTGCTGAAGTATAAAAGAGTTTAGCTAGATACTTTGTTAGATCAAAGTAATTAGATAGAAATCTCAAGCATGATGTACAAAATATTGCAAAATGTTATGAAATTCTAGCGTTCTACATAATTATTTCGATGGTCCAACGACATTATTTTCTGACTTGATCTATATAGCTAAATTTTTAAATACTTCAGCACAAAACCATCCTTTTCGTGTACTGTTGATCATGTTGACTTTTGAAATCTTAACAGGCTTGTTATCGGCTAGCTGCAACGCGAAACCTGCAATGCGAGCCTCGATAAAGCTAGGCGGCAATAAATAAAATGAGACAACGAAAAATCGATACGCACAACTGTTTGAAAAGTATAATCATTATGAAGAAAAACTCAAACAGTTCTACTACTATTATAGAAGCAGTATAGTTTTCCGCATTTTCTCCGCGGCTACATTTAAGTTCCCAGATGCTGGCAATTCGTTCTCCCAAACGAGATCAGATTCTTCCACTTTGGAGGTACGATGCCTAATTGGAGCGATTAGCAATTCTCGGGTCAACGATAGCGAGCCATATAAGCGCATACCTACGTTATACAACATATACGATTCTCGTCGGTCTCGGTTCGTGCATACGAGCATATATAGTACGATCGCAAATATTGAAAACGAAAGTTTTATTCCACCCTGCGCTTTTACGCGCGCCGCTTTTCTCTTTTTGTATCCGCTCTCTTGTATTATCTCGCGATCGTTGCCGATGTAACTGTGTAGATATTGGCAATGTTCGTGAAAATGGTTCCTTCCGTAATTTAATTAAAGCGATTAATTCCACGGAGTTGACGTAAGCGTGAAATCATTAATTACGTGAGACCGTTGTAAGAACATTCGTTGATCCGCGAGGTTGACAATGAGATTCCACTTCCTCCAGGAAAAAGAAATCAAGAGCGCAGCTCGCACGCTCGCCAAGAGGACGCTCCGTTTCGCGGTCGCGGGGAGACCCGTGTCTGGTGAGAAGAAACGAGAGTGATTAGATCTCGCTTTCGACGCTACGCGTGCACAACCGGGTCTACCTTCTCTCTTGAAACAGAAACGTTCTCTCCTTCCCGAATCGTACGAATTGCGCACGATTGTTTGGCAAGCAATATGCCACGTGCTACGCACGTATAGGTATACCGGTATATACACGACATTCCTGATACATTACTCATGCAGAAATTAAAGTCATACTGAAAGAATCATTACGTCTTTCAATTAACCTTCAATCACAATTACAGATTATTTGAATCCGAAACGAATAAATATTTAGACGATTGTATAATCTATTATAGCTATACACGGAAAGAATGATTTTGCTGCAGTATATAAAAATTTAGCTAGATACAAATCTAAAAATAATTTTATTGGACCATCGATATAATTACAAGGAAATTCAAGCATGATGAGCAATGCTGAAAAAAGTTTTGACAATTTAAAAACCGGTTTGAGTGTCCTACATCATTATTTTGACGGTTCAACAAAGTTATTTTCAGATCTCTTCAGATCTTTTTAGATATTTCAACAAAACTATCCTTTCTGTGTATGAGACAACAACCTACAATTTTTTAATAAGAATATCTTCTAAATTATAGATCAAAAAACTTTGAATCTTCCGCCGTGAATCGCTGTAAAATAAAAATTCATTTACACTTTTGTACTTCAAACAGGCATTGCTCATCATGCTTGAATTTCCTCGTAATTATATCGATGGTCCAATAAAATTATTTTTAGAACTTATAAGTGTATTAGGTGTACAAATTAATTCTCGGCCTACCTTTCAGCGACCTCAGAACCCGTTTAAGATGAACTCCCCCACCCCCTCTGTAGTTATTTTAAAGTGCCATCTTTTAGCTTTAAAATAAGGTACAATACTTGATCTTCCTGTAAACATAACCTGAAAAATCAGCAGTAGACGATGTAATTCGAAAAGCAACATTTGAGGCACTGCCTTCTTTTCGCTTTTCAACTTAAAAAAAATTCGGCTGAGGCAAAAGAAATGATTTGTTCGGCTTTGGGCGAGAATGTTGTATCGTACAGTACGTGTAAAAAATGGTTCCAACAGTTTTGAGAGGGAAATTTCGACCTTGAGGATCGTGAATGCCCTGATCAACCAAAAAAAGTGGAAGGCGTGGAGTTGGAGGAAATGAACGAGAATTCTTGCCAAACTAAATTAGAACTTGCAAAAATGCTTGGAGGAACCCAGCAAGATGTTTCCTGTCGTCTAAAACAACTGGGGAGAATTCGCAAGAAATCCCGATGATGCCCTCATGAGCGCCCTCCCGAAAACAAAAGCAGATGCCACGATACTACTCTCTCCTTGCTCTCTAGGTTCAAGAAAAAGAATTTTTTCCACAAAATTGTTACTTGTGATGAAAAGTGGATATCGTACGAGAATCCTAAGAGGCGAAAATCATGGGTCCGTCAAGGTGAGCCGTCAACGAGCATCGCAAAATCGAACATCCATGCAAAAAAAGGTGTCGCTATGCATTTTGTAGGATCAGAAAGGCATGATCTATTATGAGTTGTTCCGACAAGGTCAGACTGTGACTGCTGAGCTCTATCAACAATTGAATCGTGTAAATAACGTTTTTGAAGAAAAAAGGCCATTTATTGGTAGTGGAAGAAGGAATGTGATACTGCTGCAGGATAACCCAGCTCCATACAGCAAAAAACACTCTGGAAACCATCTGCGATTTAGACTGGAAAATTCTCCCTCATGCGACGTATTCTCCATACTTATAGGTTAGGATTATCACCTATTTCGAGCTCTACAATATCACCTAACTGATTCTCGATTCAAGTCAGTTCAAGAGGTCGAAAAAAAGCCTCGATGAATTCATCAATTCAAAACCATCATCCGATTTAAAATCCGGCAATTTCATGAGAGGTGAAAAAAATGTATAAATAGCAAGGGAGATATTACTTTGAAGATTGAGTTTGTATTCATGTTTTTATAAATAAATGTCAAAATTGATCAAAAAAGGCCGAAAATTAATTTGTACACCTAATATAATAGTTCTCATAGCTATAGTTGAGAGTCAACAAAATCGATAACAAAGAATAATAAAAATAAATCAATATGCCAAACTGTATAGAAAATATTACAGAAAATAAATGATAAAATCACGTACGCGTGCATCTTTTAATTTAACACAGGAGTGAATAAGCGGAGGCGACAAATGGCATTCCTCGCTGCATTCTTCGTCGGCATTGGTTTCGCAACGTCGCCAGGAATGCTATCTATTAGCTCCTTTAGGCTCGTATAATTTCACGTGACTTTTAATTAAGCATTTATTCGAACTCTCCGTGCGATGCCAATTACGTAAACACGGTGTGCTAGTTAGGCCAGATAGAGTATCCTCTATGGATTATAGTACTTTTGACTTATTCGGATGTTACGTGTGGAAATCGTGCGTAGCAGACTCAAGACCGAAATGCTCAAATCTCGATCTTAAAAACGTGACCTCTACTGTAAATAAAAATCCGCGTGTCCTGACTGATGATTGCAATATTAGCCTTGTCATTGTTGAGCACATTTAGCAACCAATGACGAAATAAATCGTGAAAAAAGTGCAAAAGTTCGTTAATTAAAGTTTATCAAAATAAAAGTTCTTTGGTCGAAATTCGATTGCATTATAGTGAATGACCTTTTTTATGCGCATAATTAACTTTGCGGTTGCAGCTTAAGCCCATAAAATCTCAGTTTTGTCAGTTTTTTTCCTATGAATTTGTGAAAAGGAATATGCGAATAACTCATAACTCGTGCAAGAAAAAAGTTGCACTGTTTTGCATTTTACCTTAATTAAAATTGATCAAATAAATAAATAATGAAAAATGTGAATTTAAGAGTCAGATGCGGAAATTATTGAGCAAACTATACAGTTAATAAAATAATTTTAATACAAACAAACACTAAATAAATCGATATACAATTGTAAAATTTTTAATTCGTATTTTGAATCTTAACTCCTAAATGTCCGTTTTTATTTATTTGAATTGTCAGGAGTGTGTTCATTATTAATTTCCTTTAAAATTGATCAGCCACCAATCGAGAAATCCGTTTCAACATCGTCTTTGAGTGCTTGCAGATAAAGATTGCAGAGCAATGTCGTATTTACATTATTTATAATACGTAACCTCGATTTTTACGAAATATAGATTTGGTACAAGACGATTTGGAAATAGGCGGTCCTCGATCGTGCCGCGAATTCGGACCCACGTGTTTCGCGACGTGTCGCGTGACGAAATGAAGGGTACTTACGTCATTTATGGTCGGTAGGAGTGGAGTTACGTCGATCGGATGCACGATCTGTCACGGTCCTCATGTTTCCATTGCTGCGGCCGACGAGATCTTCAGCATGATGAGTGGATCGATGACGGAGGGGAAGGTGGGTCGTGCAAATTGCTCTCCTTACACGTACACAATGCACAAAGTGCGCCGATAGAGCTTCCCGCGGCGAGAAACCGAGGGAAGTCGAGTTGATTCGAAGGATCGGCGTTACGTGCCTCCTCACCTCGCGCGCGATTCCCGGCAGCTGTTTTCTCGCTTCCGCGTGATTCCGTATGCATCAATTCCCGTATGTCACTGCACAACACAGAGATATCAAGAGAGAGAGGAAGAAGGTTGAGAGAAAGATAGAAACGTGCATTATGATCTTCGTGAAAAATAGCGGGCGTCACAAGTGTCGATATCACAAGAATTTTGATTCTTTGCACTCCTCCAAGTAGAAGACAGAAGTTATAATAATATCACAATGATGGCAGCATGATTATTATTTGTCACTTATAAGTTCATTTTTCAGTATCAATTATCACGTCATAATAAAGTAATTTGGGGGAAGACGCCACCTTTATTTTTTGAATAACTTCTTAATGTTATTATTTTAAATTAACCAACAAAAAAATATTATTTATATTCTAGAAAACTTTCTTTATCCACACAAATTCACGAATCAAACTTTTGACATTCCGTATTATTGAAAAGAATTGATATGTCACATATCCTCTGTAAAAGTATTACAATATTTTCCCCTTATATATACGGATAATATGTCATCACCTATGGAGAAAATATCACAAGTAATTAAATAATGTGATATTTTCAATTTAATATAAACTTGCATTTACAGTCTATAATCAAGAGTTTACCAGCTAAAAAAACACATAAAGATGTACTGATAAAACATAAATTGAGAAAATATGAAAGAGAATAATTTAAGAAGTATGTTAGACATACTCTTTTATTCGTTTAAACAGCATTTTATTAATTTGAAATATTTCGGATTATATATAAAGCATATAAAATTGTAATCTATAAAATCGTTTTAATAACGGTATTAAAGGAAAAATTGTATTTTGTATTTGCTGTCATATTTTTCTCAAGTGTAAGAGAAATATGCAATTGTAAACTTTTACGCATATAAGAATATTACAAATTATAATCTGTATCAGTCACGCATGACTGCCAGGAACCACTGATCAAAACTATATCATTTGTTTGATTTTACGGTAAACATCGAAGCACAAATCTATTAGCGTACTAAATATTAAAAAAAAGACAGCGTATTTCACGACCTACCTTTTTGTATTTTGTTATATAGTTTTCAACGTCAAGTGGCATGAACATTTTGGTAATTGCACTTTTTTGCAGGGATGGGTAAGTTACTTTGTAAAAAAGTAATTGATTACAGCTACAGTTTTTCTCTTTCAAAAAGTAAGTAATTACCGTTACAAGTTATTGACTTCGAAAAGTAATTCGTTACAGTTACAGCTACTAAAAAAGTAACTTTAAGTTACTTTTGAGTTACTTTTTTTCATCGGAATTTTTACTAGTAGCATCGATATCATTAGGGCTGCATTCAAAAAAACATTACTCGACTGCCTTCGTGTATCGTTTTACTCTGGTTTTTCATCTAATATTAAACAAGGATGATACATGGAGTCATCAGAGTAATGCAGCTTAAGAAAATTAAAAAAAAAGACTGATTTACATTTATACGTTATACAATTTTATTCAAAAGATAAGAAAATTGTATGGTGAAGACGTTTTTCGTTAAAGTAATATAAATACATATGAATATGAATATGAAATAGCACACATATACAATGTTTTTTTTGTAAAAAAAATTCTTTTTATATTCGGCTAAAAGTTGCAAATAAATTCCAGCACTAATCCAAAATGGGTCACGTGATTGCATTCAGAAAATAATGGCTCAGGTGCATTTAGTACTACACAACCATTCTCTGAGCGCTCTTATATTTGATTGGCGGATTTCATTAGATCCAAAAATATAGACCAAATAGGTGTACAAGAGTTCATTGAAAGCTTTAATTAAATTTCTTTTTTCTGATTAATCAAATGTTTCGAAGCATTTATAGCGCCAAGTGAATACTACCGCACACTAAATTGACAAATAAGTTTAAAATATCGTATATAAAATAACTATGAAAGTAACTATTAAATAAATTATTAGCTATTTAAAAGATGTGTGTAACAAAGTTAAGTTATAATTATAGATGGAAAGAAGGTAACGAAATTAAGTTACAGTTACTGAAAAAAAGTAACTCTATACTAACTGTAACTTCGTTATAAGTAACGAGTTACTTGGTCCCATCCCTGCTTTTTTGCCTATTATCTGCATACTTCTACGCAGTCAGAATGGCCGATATATGTTCTATGCTAATAATATAAATAAAGTGGCATCTTCCCCCTTGTATCATCTTCTTTCGAATTATCATGAATTACCGTTCTGCGATATCATTATGACTTAATTATGACTCCGTATTCTATCTGGATCTTCACTGATCGGGAGAAAATAAAGTTGAGGTAAAATTGACTCAAGTTTATTTTGGCACTTTGTTCGGCAATGCATTTCTCCTGACGAAAAGTTGGAAGTAGAATTGCTAGGAAAAAAAATGTATAATGAATGAATTTTGGAATCTCACGGGTGTTCATCGTTCGTCGGAGACACCTTAATATCAGAATGCAAAGAATTGGAGGAAATTCGATCTTTTTATCCACCGGCCGGGTGACCTGGGAATGGAGAGATGCGCAGGAAACTCGATTAAACGAGGTGGGAACGAAAGAAAGAAAAGGGAAAAAAGGAAAGAAGAGGAACGGTTGTTTAAAAAAAACTCGTCCTCCCGGTTACGTAAAATTTCAACACGTCGGTCGCGGCCAGAAATAAGAGTCGCGCACCACTTTTACGACGAAAAGTCAACGGGGAAGATTAAATGCATTTAAAAAGTCGTGCCGTTTTGCGCCTATTGTGTGCGCACGCGCTCCACGTCGCATCGCATTAGGTTTATTTTTTATTGCTGCCCTACACTGCACTACAACTTTCATTTCATTTTTGTCAAATATCAAATATACCAATTTCACTTTAGATATAAAAATTGTATAGTACACGGAAAGAATTTTTTTTCTCTTAAAAATTATCCTGATACACAATAGTCACGGAACAACATTGCATTTCGAAGAATATTATGTAAATCTTTCTCACTATCTCATTCACTAATAAAACTACAATAAAATATAAAATAAGTTTGATTAATTTTATTGAAATGCATGGTAAAAATCTTTAAAATATTGTACTACAACTATCATATATTTCTAGAGTAAATTTTAAGAGAAAATTCTTTTGTAGCGCGTATACTAAAATATTTAAAATCAAATAATATAGAGAAAGAGGGCAATGAGCCAATAATATCGTTAAAATCTTTAAATTATAACTAAAATATTTATTAAATCGTAATATATAATTCTTTTATAGCATTAAAAAAAACATTTACTTACAGTAAATAAATATTTAAATAAAAAGATAATAGTTAAATTAAATTAATGATTTTGTATCAAATAAATATATGTTTACAATTATAAAGATATTATTAGAAATATTTACTTAGAATTATATTGAAACAAATAATTATTAAAATTAAAATGTTTTTCTCAATATATTAGGTATACAAAAAAGTTCTGAGCTTTAGATTCATACAACTGAAATCCGAATTTAAATTTTATTTACGTAACATTTACGTTCAACTCGATCGGATGAATTTAATTGTAATGATGATCCTGTCTTACATGCCTTTACAGTAGGTACATTCGCATTGAGAACAGGAAAATCAATTCGAACTATAATTGTTATATCAGCATGTCTGTATTGCATCATCACACATAAGAAAATATCATCAATCCAACGACAAACATCTGTAAGAATCGCTGAAGAAGGATCTGTGAGTTCCGAAACGTACGACACTTCAGTTAGTTTTATGTTCCCATTTACGTTATAAAATTTAAGAACAACATTAAATTCATTTAGCTCGATATAATAGACCGTTTATTTATTTTAATTTGCATTGCAAAAATAAGCGAGCGAAATTTATTAATAAATTTTATTTATTTTCTCTCTCTTTTGCGGTTTTAAAGCGTTGACATTGGACCTTTTAAAATGTTATGCGGTTTGGCGTTTAATGCACACAATCTTAAAAATTAGTACTTACAATGGCAATAACAAAAGAGTATATTCGATTTTCCATCGACTTCGCGTTTCATCTGAAGAAAAATACTGGAGTCACTGAAGTGATTTATGGACAGAACGCTTTAAGTAGTTTAAGTATAAATGCTGCGTGTAAAAGATAGTATCAAAAGTTTCGCCAAGGAGATTTTGGTCTTGAAGATAAACCACATACTGGACGAACAGCAAGCATCGTTGGGTATAAACTCTGCGCAAACTGAAAAGGAACTTGCGGAACAGTTTGGTGTGTTACGCAGCAAGTCATTTCCTTACGTTTACATGCAATAGGAAAAGTTTAGAGGAAAGGCATTAAAAATCGACGGCGCGCTCAGTTTGCTTTCAAGTTCCGGAAAAGAGATTTTCCGCACAAAATCATTACAGGCGATGAAAAGTGGATTCCTTATGATAACCTGAAGCGAAAGAAATCATGGATTGACCCTGGTCAATCTGCGACATTGACGCTAAAGCCCAATATCCATGCCAAGAAGGTTTTGCTCTGCAGCAGGAGGGATTGGAAAGGTGTGTTGTATTTCAAGTTGTTACAGCCGCGTGAAACAATCACGGCAGACCGATATCGAGAACAATTAATCAATTTGAGCGATGCGATTAGAAGAAAAGAGACCATTTATACTGCGGCCAATGACGTCGTGAAGTGATCTTACTTCTCATGACAACGCCCGACCACATGTCGTGAAAGCGCTGCAGCATCACTTGGCTGATACACAGTTTGTGACACTTACAGAAATACGAAAATGCATTAATGACTTTATCGCCTCGAAGCCGCTTTTATCGATAAGAATCCGCAAGCTGCCCCGAAAGATGGCAAAAGATCGTTGATGCAAACGGGGATTATTTAGCTGATTAACATCTTTTTGTTTGCTTCTAAATAAAAATTGAATTTTATAAAAACAAAAAGCTCAGAAGTTTTGTTTACACCTAATAATTTTAAAACCATAAAGAACAGATTTATTAATCGCGACTTGAGTCTCGAGAGTCTAACTTACAGAAAATAATAGCGATCTCTATGCATTTTTCTCAAAATTATAGTAACGTTAATTAAAAAACACATTCATTTAACGCAACTAAAATAGCACAATGCGCAAAAAAAAAAAATGAATATTAAATACATTTTAATGAGTACAATCGAAATTTTTACAGACGCAATATAAAAAAAATTTATTCTTACTTGATGCTTTTGACGAAGAGATTTATAATATTGAATAAGTTCAATAGATCTACCGTTACTCAAAGGATTATTAAATAAACTCCGGAAGGTTAATAAATGCTATTTCTTTATATAAGATATTTATACGATTCTTCGTAACTGACTTTCAGAACTTTATCGAGACAAGTCTTTTCACAAAGAGCCAGGTTAACTCTTTCGTCAACGACGAGACGGAAATTCTTTAACCTCATCTTGCGATTTTCGATTTCAAAAGCGAGTACGGTCACGCGGAAATGTAGAACACGTTTGCTTTTCCACGCACGTGAATTGCTCGTTGATACACGCTAAGCACATACTTCACTCTCGCCCTGCTCGTTACGACGCGAAACGGGCAGCGCGCGCGACTCTCGAATTTCGGGGCGCGACACACGCGAGTGTGGCGAGAACTTTCTCCGTATCGATATCGATTGATCTCGTAAATCTCGTTACGTAGGACGCGGAAGTTCCCCCTTGTTATTCTAGCGCCTTGTTGCACCTCCCTTACTACTCCTTGCTACCCCTCCCCTTGACTTAAGAATCCCTAATTTGAAATCCGCGTGGCGACGAATTCAAATTTGTGACGCCTTATGCGCAACTTCAAACGCGATACTTAAGCCAATTCTACAATGACCGCAAGCCGTAAAAATTAGCCGACTAATCGTAATATTGAATATGAAGAGAATAATCGATTACGATTGGTTAATTTTTGTGGCTTACGGTCATTGTAGAATAGGCGTTAAGCTGAAACTTTGCTTTCTAGCATACATAGACGTAACACAGCGAATCATTACATCTTTATTGCTTGTCGATGTTAAACAAAGATGAAATAATCGCTGTTTATACATGTATTTGTGTCGTTCTATATATCTTAATCGTTTATCAAACGCGAAAGAAGGAAGGAATGACACAAATAGCGGTAATAGCGTCTCTCCGAACGCGTATCTCGCTGGCAGCACCGCGCAGGTGTAACTCACCGTAACTCGCGCCAATTTTCGCAATCCCTAGATTCGTAATATATGTATTACATATATTACGTATCTCGGATTTCTCTCGGTCACTCGACGGGATCTTGAGGAATCACACGCGAATCACGCTTCGTACGACTCGACGCGGACGATGGGCATATCCTCCTCTCCCGATGACACCCCGCCGATAGACTAACTGCCGTCGAAGGACAAGCGAACGAACGGCACCCGGTCTCGCGCGCGCGCGCGCGCGTGACGGTGGCGATGGTGATGGCGATCCGAAAATCCCTCGCGCGAGAGAGAGGAGCGTGGAAGGGAACCGGGGCGCGGATGAAGATGGGCCGAACGGGTGGTGTTTAGGCACGCGCGCCGCCGCGGATTCGGAATTTAATGCGAGTGCGCGAACGGACTCGGTGTAACTGCGACACACAACGACGGCGGCCGTCGGTGCCGGCGGGTGGCGAGAGTCGACGCGGGAAGTGGGGAAGTCGGGCCCCGACGTGAGGGACCGCGGCGCGGGGAAGGACCCCGCGCACTGTTCTCGGCGCAGAGCTCTTGAACGTGCGGATCACGTTCGTTACATGGCTCTGCTCGTGCGCAGGAGAAGCTAGGCCGTCCGTCCGAGAGAGTCGCGAGCGAGGACCTCGCGCGCGTTCGATCAATTTAATTGACAAGTGTAATTGATAAAAAGAAAAAGAAAGAAGTTGATAAATCCGAAGCGAAAAGCTTGGAATTTTGCTCGAAAACTTTGTAAAATTGTGAGCCCGCGGTTCTCGTGACACGACATATACTTGCGCGCAATTTTTCGAAAGGTCGCGCTTTTACGTTCTAGACGTTCGAGATATCGAATCTCGATTCCGGTCTGTTTTGGTTCGTTTTTGTCGCAAGATAATTTTTTCGAGCTTGTTGATTGGTAATAAGATAGACAGCACCCTTTTGTTTTGCAGCCATAAACTTGAAAAATATGTACGTACGACAAATGTAATACTAGCCTTACGACTGCAGCTTTTTCTACTGCGATGCCAAATATTATGTTACTGCGCGCTGCGTGTTAAAGTCGGAAGAGTCACCTGTTCCGCTGACACTTTGTTTATGTAGGAAGTTATTTACATTAGTTCAGCAATAAAAAGCGTAACGATAAAATAACGCGCCGCTGTGTCCAGATAATAGAGTAGAAAGGAACTTAAGCTGTGAGAAATTGATCAATCGTAGTCGATTATTCTCTTCGCATTTGTCTGTAATTGGTCAATTTCTTATTTAGACCTAAAAGGCTTACTACTCCATTGTAGACACCGCGTGAAACTATTTGAAATCAGATTTTAGAATACCAACGTGTAGCTATAATAATTATAAAAATTTGAAAGTGTTTAATCAAGAGCATTTGATTTAATGCAAAGTTTACTTCAGGTGATACAAATCCTGAAATACAATAATTCACGAATAGAACTTTTATTTGTAATTTCACATATATGTAATAGAATCTTTTAAGAGTCAAAATATACAAATGTATATAAGATGTACATAAAAATATACGGTATAGAAGCTATAAATAAAATTTTCTCTTATTATAATTTAAAGCAAATTATAATTACGGTTGCTCATTCTCGCGTAGCGGAACGTGATTCCCCAGAGTTGTCTATGCATATTCTTAGCAATTCGGATATCTGCGTTTAATTACAAAGATAATATTACGAGATAAGAGAAGCGCGTTATGAACATATTTCCGTTTCGTGAAATTGATCTCCTTAGATCGTATATATATAGATACCTTGAAACAATCAATGTCATTTACCGACCCGACGGAAGAGAGAAAACGCTACACGTGCAGATATAGTATAGGACGTTCGCGTCTCCTTTTACTTTCGAGCCGTCGCCGCGTCGAGTAACACGGTTACTGCTCTCCAAGGTGTTGGATTATAGACCATGTTAAATCGAAGGGATGCGGCGGAGGGGAATCGCGTAACCATCGGACGAGCGTTGAATCAGCATCGCGGAAACTTTAATTATCGGCGGCTTTCCACGGAGCGAGTCGCTTATCCACGAATTGCATCCACGGTTGGATGACCGTTTACGACGTTGCGCAACAAGTAAATGGCTAATAACCTCGAAATGAGAGATTTCCTTTCGAATGCGATTCCGCGTCGTGGAAATGCGAACGGTCCCGAGCTTTATTATAGGAAAGCACGACAGCTGTATCATTTACGAAAGTTTTTTCTTGTAGTTTAACTTTCAATTTTACTCGGGAAACACGACGAGCCTTTCGCGCCAATACTCATCGAGAAGAGGATACACCGTCGTCTTTTTTAGCGCCACGTAATTTTCAAACGGCTGGCTGCTTATAAGTTCAGCGTTATGACGTTAGGCAAAGATTCACATTAAAATGCCAAGCGAATCAGCGCTCGATATTGATTAAGTAATTCTAATATTTGTCTTAGCATGTATAAAGCTGGTTCTACATTAGTTGCAAGCCGATCGTAAATTCGTTGCGACAGCCAATCTCAAGCTTGCATTTTGAAATCAACGCTTCAGATTGGCTGTCGCAACAAACTTGTGATCGCCTTGCAACTAATGTAGAACCGGCTTAATACAAAGATTGCGTTGAGCAGAAAAAAAACTGTTTGGCAATTGTTGTAAAATGTTTTAATACATTCTAAAAGATATGGGTGTAAATTTAACACCGTGAGGTGTTTATAAAGTTCTCGTCGTGTTGAAATTATAGTATTAAAAGCCAGCTGTTTTTTCTAAAAATCCATGCCTCGGAATTAAATTTCTTGTACCGTTCATCTTTCTTCTTTTTCTTTTCATATTAAAAAGAAAAAAAAAATACAAAAAATAGATAGTACGAGTTCGGTCCTGGAAAAGGAGAAGGCCTACTCAAGCAGAACAGCAAGTCATTATGACATCAAAATGACTCCAAAATGATCATTTAAAGTCACTTTTCATTTGCGATTTCTTTTAACGTTATTTTGACATTATCGTGACTTGTTCTGCTTGGGTATAAACACCAATATGGTGTGAATTTAAGCCTAATCCACAATGTGTTCTTTGCTTCTTGTTTTTTTGATTTCAACTTGATGCCTTTTTCTTTCTTTCAGACCGTCGATAATCTCGTTTCTTATTTTACGTATTTTTTATTTCTTTGTCAAAATTTGTCAACTTTTATCTCGAGCGACAGAATTAAAATGAAGAAACTGAATAGAAAAGACAACAAGACAAGAAGTAAAAAATGGCACGAGCATAAGAAACAGGAAACAAAGAGCACATTGAAGATTAGGCTTGAAAATCGTTGGTGTTTATATATCATACTACAAAGATGTTAAAAGAATTAAAATCTATGATGTCAGTTCCACATGATGTTTTACCAACATCGTCACGATGAGAATTAAATTAGACACCGCATGTGTGTTAAATCCACACCCATATTTTTTAGAGTGTACGGTTGATCTTGCTCTTAGTTCCTGGATCTACATGTATATACCAATCGCATTAAAGACTTTTACAACAGTCGCAGAGCTGTCTTTTCTATTAAACACAGTTATTAAGATAAATTTATTCTTGTACTTTTTTCTTGAAATCGAGCATGTTCAATGCCGCGTTCAGATATTTATAAATTACGCAGTTGTGCTATCTAGAACGCATGTCCGTACGCGCATAAATCCGAATGACCGGCGCCATCGCGGACGTGCGAATAAATAACGCGGGAGGAAACGTATTGCGGGATCGTAGAATTGCAGGCTTCTCAGCCGGAAGCGTGTTTACAGTTCGCGTGACCGGCACCGTCGCGAAACCAACGAGGTTTAGACTCTCGAACGCGAATTTAAACGCGCGCAGAAGGGGCGGGGGAGGGGCAGACACCTGAATGCAGCGACGCTTGATACGATACAGCTTCACGACCCGGCGGCGCACAATGGCGGGGGTGGTGACGGACGAGAGAAGGACAGCGGGGAAAAGAGATAGATAAAGATAGAGAGAGAGAGAAAAAAAAAAGATCGAAGGAGTGGTAGGGAAACGGCGTATAGCGTGGGCCTTTAGCCGGTGATCGTTTTCCGGTTTTCCGTTCTCGCGAGAGGCACAATTCTCTGCCTCCTTGTCCTTCTCTCCCTCCCTCTTCTTCTCTCTTTCTCTCTCCCTTTTTCTCTTCCCGTTGGTATATCGCCACTCTCTCGCGAGCACTCTCAGGCCTCCGCTCCTGTCTCGCGCGCGAGAGGGAAAGTATTTTATATCACGCTTGGCTTGGCAAGAGAAAGGGGACATGGCTCGCTCCTAATTTCTGCTTTAATTTCGTGAACCTATATACTCGCTATGTATATATATATATATGCTATTGTACATGATACGTTGTAATACTAGACGCTATGCTCGAATTGTTCGCCGATGCAATCATATTGAAAACAGAAACATTTACTTAAATATATACTTAATATCAATTTGTTTAGTATATAATACAAATCTAAATGTATCTAATTTTGCATCTTTTAATATGTAACTTGTTTATTATTTCTTATTAAATTTTAATTAGTAATATTGCTGCAATATCAGTTTAGACGATGTTTTTTTCTATTTATGTACAGAATAGTGTATATACAATGCACATCTAAATGTATCTAATCCTATATCTTTTGATGTAACTTGTATATTATTTCTTATTAAATATTAATTAGTAACACACTGCAATGTTATCAGTTTGGATGCCATGTTTTCTTTACTTATATAATACAGAAAGTTGTATATATATTATACAAAAAGCTATAACTATTAGAGAATAAATTTTGTATAAACGCTACTTCTATTCTAAGTATAGTAATTAGGAATCAAGATTAATGTCACGAAAGAAAATTGGTAAAAGTAAGCTTATATTATGTCAAGAAACTTTGTAAGATGATAGAGCTTGAATTAAATTTAATTATTCCGTGCGATACATTCTCAAAATGTTTGTTTCAGATACAAGTTTAGCGGCTCGTTATGAAACACCTCGCATATCATCGGAAAAAGTTCTATCGTTCTCGTTGCGAAACCGGATCGGCCTGTTCGAAATGGCTTATACTAAACAGGACTTAATTTTATACAGTGCTAAAATAGATAATATAACAATTTTATCTGAAATTATATTATATTTTCTTAAATATTAAATTAATT